CCACCCCCCCTCCATATATATACACACATCTATTGTCCTTGTCTGTCCTCCTTTGTTGTGTTTGTTACAAGTGTTCTCTAGTAATACCTTTATTCTTCGACACTTATATTTTATTCGGCCACCACAAATAGATAATAGATGACCTAATTGTGCTTTATGTGGCTTAAAACTCTAACTAAAACAAATAAATCATCAACATCTCTCCATGTCTGTTTATTATTTTTGTTTTGTTTTACTAAGTTGTTTTGTTTTGTTTCGTTTTTTAAAAACCATGCAGACCTGACCTCGCTGCGGCCTTGCGAGAGATCCAGAGCCAGGACTCGAGAATAGCCAGCCTGGAGAGCGCTATGACCTCGCTCAACCTCCGGCTAGACGCCTTTGACAACACTCTGTTCTACAGCACTGTGATGGAGAACAGAACCAAGTACATGGTCTCCCGCCCCTTTCTGCTCAACACGGCCATAGCTGAGTCTCTTTGCCAGCTGTACGGGGGGTACCTCGTGGAAATCAACGACGGCCACGAGTACACTGTCGTGAAAAGGGTTCTCGAGGGCGCGAAGGCAAACGATGACGTTCTTGTGGGAGTTACCGATGAGTTCCAGGAAGGGGTTTGGCGTTACCGGGAACACAAGACTCAAACTGTGACGTTTTTGCTTTGGGACAACAGCAAGCCGGAGCCAGACGGCGGTGCCGCTGAAAACTGCGCCACTTTGGGGGCAGACGTGGGCTGGAAGCTCCAAGACAGGAAGTGTTACGATAACACTGCGCATGTCCGCTTCATGTGCGAGGTAGAGAACGCATGATTTGATGTCGTCATCGCGTCATCTTGAGGTCTCTGCCGTCATAGAGTAAAGAGATTTGATCTTGTTAGATTGACGGATATATAGAAGGTGTCTGCCTTTGGATTTGTTTGTTAGTTTGTTAGTTTGTTAGTTCATTTTGATTTAATAAAATTATATCCTGTTGTTTTTGTTTGTTTGGGGGGGGGGGGTTAATTTTTTGGTGCTTTTTGTGTGGGTTTTTAAAAAGTTTTACTTCATTTGATTTGATTTAAGCGTTTCACAATGAAATCAGATTTAAATCCACGTTTTATACATGCTAACCCATTCAACGTAAACAATCCCTTCAAATACATTTATTCACCCGCAAGTAAGCTGACAAAGGACACATACACAAAAGCACATTCACTATGACTACTGATCGCAATAATTGCTGTTAGAAAAAAAAATTCAAACTAATCAGTAGGCGTACTATGTGATTTTAATACATGTGTTTTAGGTCAGATTTAAATTTGATAAAAGTTGGCACCTCTCTTAAATGAAGTGGTGGGAGGGAATTCAACGCAGTGACAGCAGCTGTCGAAAAAGTCCTACTTCATTTTTAATTTTACATACAGGACACAGTTTTGAGTTGTTGGGGGGGGGGGGTATTAATGTATCGTAGATTTCGAGATGAAACAAGCTCAAGCAGAAAATTAGAAAGATGTCGTGATACCAACACCATCTAAAAATATTCTCAACCATTGCAGCTGAAGAACAAAAGTCTGTCCCCGTGGTTTTATGAACCCGCATAATTAAGCAAAATTTGATAAATTTTTGCATAATTTCTGATCATTTTCCTTTATCATTTTTGTTAAAACTAACAGAATTGCATAATTTCACATTTTTGGGCTGGATTTGCATATTTCAGAATATTTCTAGCATAAAACGGCAGGGACAGAAAAGTTTTGAAGCTCCAAAAACAGTCTCAAAATTGTAGACCCTTGTCCCAAGTGAACTGCATAATTTCAGTGTTTTGGAAACATCCGACTTACCAGGTTTTTATGTCAAATCTATCAAGTGACGTCATAAAATCAATACTAGAGTCAAATACTTAACTTACCTC